GTTAGGAACGAAATTCTGTGGATTTGCCGGTGCCTTGTCTAAATGACAGGACAATCCAACAGCAAATTAAACAATGCGAGGACGCAGGAGGAGAGGTGAGTATATCTTTGACCTCAGGAAATGGAGCGGATTAAAGCTCCTTCTTTGGTCAAAGAAGGTCAAGTGTAGGAAAAATACATTATGCCGTCTGCAATTTAATGGTCTTAAAATTTGTTGCGGCGGCATAGAACACCATAACTGTTTTGAGCCCATGCGCCTCCGGGTACTTACATACCCCAGCAATCCGCTTTGGGGGGACTGTCTGACAAACCAGACAGTTCCCCTGCTGCAAGTCCGGCCCTCCTGGACCATGAGATTGCAATGATATCGCAATCACATGGCCGCAATAGCAGGCTAAGGAACTGTCTGCAGAGGGACTTTCTGGGTTGTCGGTCAGTCCCTCAAACGAAAATAAAAGTTTTAAAGATCATTATATATGGCCATAACATAAATATATATATATATATATATATATATATATATATATATATATGAAATAAAAATTATAAATTGAATAAATACATTTTAATAAAAAAATTAATTATATATATATATATATATATATATATATATCTATATATATATATAAAAATGATTGGAAATGACCGCACTCCAAGGACTTGTTGATAGTAAAAATAAAATATAACTTTTATTCTATATCTATAAAAAATATCGACGTTTCAGCCCCAATACATGGGCTTTCATCAGGATGGCAATACCGTTATATTTTATTTTTACTATCAACAAGTCCTTGGACTGCGGTCATTTCCAATCAATTTTTTTGTATCTTGTGCCTGACCAGAGTGCAAGCATCTCAGTTTTCTTATATATATATATATATATATATATATATATATATATATATATATTATAGTAATGTAGTAGGTAAACAATATAGCTTGCACTCACGGTTAAGTTAAAACTCCATGCTTTATTAAAGAAATTTTAAAAAGTTGTAGATCAACATTTCAGTCCCTGTTCGGGACTTTCCTCAGAATAATTTTTTTGTAAGATCCTGAGGAAAGTTCCGAACAAGGGCTGAAACATTGATCCACAACTTTTTAAGTTTCAAGACATTGAGTTTTGTTTACCTACTGGATACTGGAGCCTTGGCTGATGCACCCGGCAACATAACAAAACTTGAGCCTTAGTGCAAGGAACTTTAAAGATTTGTTTTATGTATATATAATTTATATATACTGTATTTTGATATTAATATATATATATATCGTGGATTAATTTAAAATAAGATCTTCTTGGAATTCCCAGAGTGCTGGTATTTTTTTGAGATTTATAATGTGACTGGGCATCAGGTAATAATGCAATAGTTGGAGTGCAAGGTCTTGGACCTGTTTATATATATATATATTGGTATCAAAATACACTTAGAATAAAATTTATATAATATATAATATATTATATATATATACACACACAGTTGTAATCAAAATTATTTAACCCCCATTGAAAATTCGTTTTTTGTCACACTTTACAGACTTTCAGCTGTTTGCAATCAAACGCAATTAAAATAGCACAAGGTTGCATAGGGACCCAGTTGCATTTTAATAATATAAAAGCTGCTTTTGGGTTACTGTCTCGGGAACATAAATAATAAAAGACATTAAAGGTGTAAGTAAACCCTTGACTAAATAAGGGAGATCATATCTGACCAATATCGATGGCATTGGGGACATCCTCACCATACACGCAGCATAGTGCCCATCCCTTAGTAACATCTCCAAATGTATTTGTCTTAGTGGAGCATATGAAGTCCAGTCTTGGAGGTAACATATAACATCTGTTTAAGATGTTATGCGTGTTCTCTATGTGAGAAGCACAGAACCTATAATGAGATAGCATGTAACCACTTTTTTTCCGGTGCTGAGTATCCAAACTCTTTTTTCCAATTCTTTATGCATGTTATTTTGTGAATAAAAAGATTTGCAATAGCTTATTAATTCGTTGAGACAGATTTAGTGGGTGGGATAAGTCGCATACAAAACTTCTCAAAGTCAGTCAGCTGTTGCCTGTTTACAAAAGAGGTTACTAACTAAGCAAGTTCAGTCATCCAGGGTTGTATGTGCATATCAGATAATTGTGCAACAGTAGGAATTTTGTATGCTTTTACGAATTGAAAAAATATAATTTCCCTTTTTATACAAAGATTATAAATGGAAAATCCCTCATCTCACCCACCCTCTGAGGTTGAGGTCAGGAATTAGTATCAATAAAGCTTGCGATTGGGTCGCTAGTGATATAGGGTTGTAACTACATAAAAGGTGTATGAATTTGTCCCATCGAGATAATGTTGCGATTGTGGTAGTTTACTGAAAAAAGAGAGAGAACTGGAGGTAGCAGCAAGGAGATATATAGATAATGTGGGAGACCCTAGGAGAGTTGTCTATAAATAATTAAAACCTCACTTTTAATAGTTTCTCATAAATAGTCCCAAAACATGGACTAAATCTCACTACAAACTAATAAAGAAATAAAATAAATAGTCATAATATCGGACTGAATTTGTCCTGTCACTGTATACACCTTTGGTAGTAGTGAGCTATGTTTTTGGAGTCGACTAGAAGTATCCTGTAAATACTTTTTGCTGTGTCTATCGTGAGTTGCCGAGGTTCAGAACTTTGGATATATTTGACGGAGGAGGTTTATTTATTTTTATTTTTTTTATTTTTTTTACCAGCTATACAGGGAGAGCTTTTGGAAGGGGTGCCCTCGAAGGGAAAGATGTTCATAGCCCTACGATCCTCTAAGCTGTCACCCTGACACCAACATCCCTCCTCTATATCTTTAACACTGTCTGACATAATTGAATTTAAGATCGGCATTGCCTGGGGTGCTAAGTGACCTTACATTAACAGACAAGCAGTTATCTTAATCCATAAGTCGTTAACGTCTGCAATACTAACCACACTTCTGGGATTGTAATAGCGAAAATCCGCGCTGCATAAAATGGATATCACAAATCGTTATCCAAAATCCTTTTAGGGCAAACTTATTGTGGTGACCATGAAATAAGAAAATATACCACATAGTAGCAGATTCAAGATATCACACTTTACACGGCAAGCGTTTGCAACAATACTTAATTGATACAACTACATAGATACCATCTTATATGTTACCAATGTGTAAACACTTTACTAATTTTCTGGAGATCGTCTAGCTCAGGGGTAAGCAACCTACGGCACTAGTGCCATGCACGGCACTCAAGGTGTCTTTGCACGGCACTCAAGGCTGCTAGAGCCAAACAGGCACTGGCCTATCAGGAGTCCCAGTGAAACTTCAGATATCTGCTAATACGAAAAGATGGTTGAGGACAATCCTCAATTTATGCATTGCAGCACATAGAGTAAGTAATCTTAGATCACTTCCTCCCAGCACTTGTGAATGGGAATCCACACTGTAGTAGAGCAGCCTGCAGCTGCTGTTGCAGCTCCTGTCCTTAACCTGTACCTGGCCAGCCTGGTCCCCACTGGAACCCAGGAAAGCCACCCACACTGCTAGATATACACAGAAATGCACAATAACCCTCCCCTCATACAAATAATATAAACAGCCCACACACAAACACACACACAATCCACACAAATGCAACACCACTAACAATCCACATACATGCACACAACCCCACATGCAGCCTCTCACATGCAATACCCCAAACAGTGCCATAGATACACACACTACCAAACACACAATGTGACATATCCATCCACACAGACAATTCCACAAGCAGCCCTCATACACAGCCCTCATTCATATATATCATACACGATACCACAAACTACTCCTGAACATATACAATATAATAGCTCATATACGCACAAATACGATACAAAGCAATTACAGTATAAATAACACAAACAGAATACGGCAGCATACACACCTCAATTTAAAAAAATAGGATCGGCACGCTATGGGTCATCACAATCCTACATCGGCACAGTGCTACTAAAAGGTTGCCTACCCCTGGTCTAGCTGATAATTGCCCTATAGAGCTAAATATTGCCTAAAAAGTATTCTTGTGGATTATCACAAACCACTTAGGATATATTTTTGGCTCTAATTTATTAAGCCTTTATAAAGACTCAGAAGACAGATTGAGTCCAGTTTAAGCTATCCAACATTATTTAAACAATAATGGTTACTGTGTTCAGTGCGCTTATAAGAATAGTAAAGTGGTATAAAAGCAGCTACACACTCTAGTGGGTGCTCTCTATCCCCCACTAATATATAGAAGTAAAACACAGTGAGTCCAGTATAGACTGGATAAAAATCCAGACCGTACTAGTCAAGTGAGTGGAGCGCTGAATGTTCACACTTACCCTCAATTAGGGTTAAATCTCAGATGTGTATATGTACATGCAAATGAAACAGAGAAATACAACACAATATAGTGTAAATCCGTGAATGGAAGAAATATTATGACAATATATCAATAATCAGACTCACATGGATTAGAGCCTCATAAAAGGACAGGCTCAAATCTCTTCAACATTAGTATCGTATGGAGACACTGCACCCTTTAACTGGAGTAGAATTCCTCAAAGAAAAAAGAGAAAAACAGGGGAAAGAAACCCCCTAGTGTACTATGTATATAACTGATAGTGCACAAGCAGTGGTTATAGTAGTGCTCACCTGGTTCAGAGCCAATGAGAACCTGGCTCTAGATGGTAGACTTGAGTGCCTTTAAAAGGGGTCACTTACCCTTCTTTAACAGCAAGATGGGACCAAAGGCCAATGGGATATGTATAAAAAATAATAAATTTATTGTAAAAATAAAAACAAAGTAAAATACTTTTACAAAAAGTAACTGTAAAGTCCCAAATGTTGGCTTCAGCTCCGAGATGCGTTTCACAAACACTATGTGGGCTTTTTCAATCGGGTTCACTGTGTCCATACTCTTGCTGTTTAAATTTGCCGGTATTTTTCTTCCGGTAGGCGGGTCTTCACTTCCGTAATCCAATCGGATAGCTTCTTCCTAATGGTGTAGAGCGCCTCACCTGAGGTCCATTCAGGCAATCGGAGTGGCGCGGTGTCATACCCCACGTCACTTCCGTGTTCACCGCGGCCATTTTTCTTATGGGTAAGCGCCCTAGATAGGAAACCGGAAGTGACGCGGCGGAATGAATCCGCTCGTCACTTCCAGAACAAGCAAAGTCCTGGCAAATACAATATGGTGTGTCTTTGCCCACACTTCCTAAAAAGGGGGGGGCCTCCATCCTCAGTATACATAAGGAAGACAAAGGGCAACAATAGAAAAAGGGGGAGGGCAAAGAGAAACACATTTAGATATATAGTGCATATTCTCACATATGGTGTATTTATGAGAATGTCAACATGTAGAAACTTAGCCATTCCTACAGCAATCCTCTTACTTTGCTCTAAATTTAAAAAGACAATAAAATATATACAACAAAAAATTCTCAAAAATTAGAAGGGAATAACTAATTGATTTCCACATGAATTATTGACTTTCTCATTTACATATATAAAAATGCTCTATATAATGTACCATATATAATGATCAGTATTCTCCTCCAGGGGAAGACAGATGAAATAAATGGATTAAATAAAATGGCATATCTCAAAATCATTATTAAGACCTCCTGGGGTCAGTGTGTTTAAATTGAAAATCCATTTCATTTCTATTTGACCCATTTTTTTTATAAAATTGTCTCCTCTCCAATTAGGTTTAACTAATTGAATACCAATGAATTGTAGCTCTGTGGGGTCCTGATTATGTTTTTGTTTAAAATGTAGGGACAGGCTATGTTTTTCAAAGCCCTTTTTAATATTTCTTATATGTTCTTGAATACGAACCTGAAGAGGCCTTGCAGTCCTACCTACATAACCTAGATTACAAGTACATATTATCAAATATATAACTCTTTTCGAGTGGCATGTGATTAAATCCCTAATATTATGGGTTTCTTGAACACACTGGGGATTTTTAAATTTCCTAATTACTCTTTTTTTGTTCCCCGTATTTTTGCAAGCACCACATATGCCACACCCATAAAATCCTGGGGATTCATTAAATAGACTTTGTGTAGATTGATTGTATTTAATGTGATTTTGCACCAAATTATCTCTCAAATTTTTCACCCCCCTATAAATAATTCTAGGGCGATCTGATAGAATTGTATTTAGTTGAGGGTCTTCCTTTAAAATTGGCCAATATTTGTTTACAATTTTCTTAAAAGTGTGGCTTTTTGAATTAAAATCACATATCAGTGATACTTGATTAATGTCCCTTGATTCAATGGGTGGTTTATATTTAAGTAGACTTAATCTATCTGTTTTCTGTACTTCCTCAACCGCCTTTTTTAAGAAGTCTTCCTGATACCCCTTGTCCCTAAAATTCTTTACAATTATCTCTGATTGGGTTTCAAATGTATGGGTTTCTGAGCAGTTACATTTTACTCGTAGTAATTGGGCCTTCGGTGCATTTTGCAACCAGGGTGAAAAATGGCAGCTTTTCCGTTCTATGTAACTATTAAAATCTACTTTTTTGAAAAAGGTTTTTGATTTTATCTGACCGTTTTCAATGAATATATTTAAATCCAAAAAATTTATTGTAGATTTGCTATACTCACTTATTAATGTAATGCCCCAATCATTTGTGTTCAAAAACGTCAAGAAGTTTTGTAGGGAGATCTCGTCTCCCTTCCAGATAAAAAGAATGTCATCGATGTAACGGCGATATAGCACCAGGTTCTGTCCCCAGTCATGACTCCCATATATATATTGGGACTCCCAATGGGACATAAATAAATTAGCATAACTGGGAGCGAACCTGGTGCCCATCGCCGTCCCACACTGCTGAATGTAAAACACCTCTCCAAACCAGAAATAATTGTGATTAAGTATCCAGATTATACCTTCGATAATGAAGTCTATCTGAATCTGAGGGAAATCTCTATACAATTTCAAGAAATATTTTGTGGCAGGGAGCTCACATCGGCCGTCACTAAATAATAATTCTCTTCCCATTTCTGATCTTGTAGAATTTGTAAGACACTTAGTGTGTCCTTTAGATGACTGGGACTTCTTTGATTAAGTCTACTTAAATATAAACCACCCATTGAATCAAGGGACATTAATCAAGTATCACTGATATGTGATTTTAATTCAAAAAGCCACACTTTTAAGAAAATTGTAAACAAATATTGGCCAATTTTAAAGGAAGACCCTCAACTAAATACAATTCTATCAGATCACCCTAGAATTATTTATAGGGGGGTGAAAAATTTGAGAGATAATTTGGTGCAAAATCACATTAAATACAATCAATCTACACAAAGTCTATTTAATGAATCCCCAGGATTTTATGGGTGTGGCATATGTGGTGCTTGCAAAAATACGGGGAACAAAAAAAGAGTAATTAGGAAATTTAAAAATCCCCAGTGTGTTCAAGAAACCCATAATATTAGGGATTTAATCACATGCCACTCGAAAAGAGTTATATATTTGATAAAATGTACTTGTAATCTAGGTTATGTAGGTAGGACTGCAAGGCCTCTTCAGGTTCGTATTCAAGAACATATAAGAGATATTAAAAAGGGCTTTGAAAAACATAGCCTGTCCCTACATTTTAAACAAAAACATAATCAGGACCCCACAGAGCTACAATTCATTGGTATTCAATTAGTTAAACCTAATTGGAGAGGAGACAATTTTATAAAAAAAATGGGTCAAATAGAAATGAAATGGATTTTCAATTTAAACACACTGACCCCAGGAGGTCTTAATAATGATTTTGAGATATGCCATTTTATTTAATCCATTTATTTCATCTGTCTTCCCCTGGAGGAGAATACTGATCATTATATATGGTACATTATATAGAGCATTTTTATATATGTAAATGAGAAAGTCAATAATTCATGTGGAAATCAATTAGTTATTCCCTTCTAATTTTTGAGAATTTTTTGTTGTATATATTTTATTGTCTTTTTAAATTTAGAGCAAAGTAAGAGGATTGCTGTAGGAATGGCTAAGTTTCTACATGTTGACATTCTCATAAATACACCATATGTGAGAATATGCACTATATATCTAAATGTGTTTCTCTTTGCCCTCCCCCTTTTTCTATTGTTGCCCTTTGTCTTCCTTATGTATACTGAGGATGGAGGCCCCCCCTCTTTTTAGGAAGTGTGGGCAAAGACACACCATATTGTATTTGCCAGGACTTTGCTTGTTCTGGAAGTGACGAGCGGATTCATTCCGCCGCGTCACTTCCGGTTTCCTATCTAGGGTGCTTACCCATAAGAAAAATGGCCGCGGCGAACACGGAAGTGACGCGGGGTATGACACCGCGCCACTCCGATTGCCTGAATGGACCTCAGGTGAGGCGCTCTACACCATTAGGAAGAAGCTATCCGATTGGATTACGGAAGTGAAGACCCGCCTACCGGAAGAAAAATACCGGCAAATTTAAACAGCAAGAGTATGGACACAGTGAACCCGATTGAAAAAGCCCACATAGCGTGGGTGAAACGCGTCTCGGAGCTGAAGCCAACATTTGGGACTTTACAGTTACTTTTTGTAAAAGTATTTTACTTTGTTTTTATTTTTACAATAAATTTATTATTTTTTATACATATCCCATTGGCCTTTGGTCCCATCTTGCTGTTAAAGAAGGGTAAGTGCCCCCTTTTAAAGGCACTCAAGTCTACCATCTAGAGCCAGGTTCTCATTGGCTCTGAACCAGGTGAGCACTACTATAACCACTGCTTGTGCACTATCAGTTATATACATAGTACACTAGGGGGTTTCTTTCCCCTGTTTTTCTCTTTTTTCTTTGAGGAATTCTACTCCAGTTAAAGGGTGCAGTGTCTCCATACGATACTAATGTTGAAGAGATTTGAGCCTGTCCTTTTATGAGGCTCTAATCCATGTGAGTCTGATTATTGATATATTATCATAATATTTCTTCCATTCACGGATTTACACTATATTGTGTTGTATTTCTCTGTTTCATTTGCATGTACATATACACATCTGAGATTTAACCCTAATTGAGGGTAAGTGTAAACATTCAGCGCTCCACTCACTTGACTAGTACGGTCTGGATTTTTATCCAGTCTATACTGGACTCACTGTGTTTTATCCAACATTATTTGTCTAATCAAGACTCAAGACAGTTGGATTATTATGATCCTATCCAGTGACAGGACAAATTCAGTCCGATATTTAGACTGACTATTTATTTTATTTCTTTATTAGTTTGTAGTGAGATTTAGTCCATGTTTTGGGACTTTTTATGAGAAACTATTAAAAGTGAGGTTTTAATTATTTATAGACAACTCTCCTAGGGTCTCCCACATTATCTATCTATCTCATTGCTTTTACCTCCAGTTCTCTCTATTTTTTCAGTAAACTTTAACTATAGAGGTTACCCTCCATTAGGAGGCACCAGTTAACAATTTGGCTCAACTTTCTTTTTTCCCCTTTTTTCTCCTTTTTTGCCTGTCTGTAATCATAGTAGGGAGTAATTTGTGAAGGTTAGGGCGATATGATTTAGTTAACCAGAGTTGAAATATCAAATAGATCCCTACTATCCAATAAGCTTCAAATTTAACCCACTATGGCATCTCTGGGTAAATGCAGATCGTTTTAACATAAGTTACAGAACAGCTTTTATTTGGCAAACAGTTAAATATAAAACATTAGCATGTACAATATATATATATCTGCCAATCAAAGCATAAGGAATCAAGTATTTTCAGATGGTATAGTATCTTCAATTGTCTTTAGCTTTGAGTCATTTTAAAAATTTGGAATGTTTATTAATCATCTGTCTTTTCTGTGCTTTATAATAAATGCCATTTCTATTTTTCTTGCTATACCGCCTACATTCTGCTATCTCTTTTTTTTCTATTTGCATTTTTATTCATTCTTTCCCATGCATTATAGCATTTTGTTGTAAATAACATTCTCAGGATAATCATTCCCCATGAATGTATTCTCTAAATGTTCTATTTGTGTATCCTAGCACTTTATATCGTCTTCTGAATTAGCTATTTGGTCCATGATTTAGGATGAAACTGTCCAACATACATCAATAAGGAGAGAGAAAGCAAAACAAAATGACAAGAAATAAAACCTTATGCATCAGCAGATATAGTTGCCAGAAAAAAGTAAGAAGTAAGTCAATGATCTAGGATAAAGCCATGAACATCCAGATTGTTGCACTCTTGACATCATTTCAAGCAGA